ACTCCTGCACATTGGATTTGAACTGAAACAATGACTGTGGTTAATGTCTGTGGTTCAGGTGTCAAGAAGGGGGGGGGGGGGGGGTCACATGAACACTGGAGCTCTGCGATAGTTTCTATTTTCACATCGCGATTACCGACCTGAGGGTCACGGCGTGGCTTAGCGGATGGAGCTTTGAAATAGAACCTTTAATCTTTTACAAGTTAAATGAATAAACATTAACAGTAACCCCCCTAAAAGTCCATGTTGGCACATTAACCACAGTCATTGTTTCAGTTCAAATCCAATGTGCAGGAGTCCAAAACAACAAAGATGTTATGACAGCAATACAATGGTTGCACTGGACAATCAAGAGTAGCAAACAAAGAGAAGAAGAAAAGGTACAAAATGACAAAGGAGAATTCAGCCCAGGTCGCGGTTTCCAGCAGTGTCGTGTGTTATTCAGAAACTTTAAGGGGGGGAAATAAACTCAGCTGCCACTTTATTGGGTCCACCTGTACAATCTTAGTTATAATGTGTCGAGTCAATTATATGTTTATTATTAAGGTTATAGTTTAAAGGTGGTGTCGTACTGGATTGCATTATATTGAAAGGTGTTAATAGTTTTTTGACTTCTCTATTTACATACACGAGGCATCAGCTCTCAATATAATGCAACGCAGTACAACATGATCTCAATGCTAAGACTAAGCAACACCTATATGACACATTACACACATCATAGAAATAGAATAAATGGCACAGCAGTACAGTGTATTTCAAACATATTCAACCCCCAAAATATTCTCATTTCACCAGGGCATAAACAGCAGTATGCCCCACTCTGTTGTAAATGTAATATGTACAAGTGGATAAAAGCTTTTCTCAAGATGACCCAGCAGCAGCTTGTAGCATAGACCCCTAATCAGACAATAATTGGCTGCAGGTGCTCCCGGTCACACCCGCGAACATGTTGACTAAAATGAGAAATAAAGTGGAAATCAAGGCATATTGTTGGTATAAATTGGTTCTGATTGGCTGTGCGGATGCGTGCGTGTGTCCACCCGTAATCTACTCACATTATCTAACTCCGCCTCCTTCTTGAAAGTGGAATATGCTTCTTCGTATCCATTGGAACGTAGATAATCGGCTATTGCTCGATTTCTGAAACAGACAAAGAGGACCCGTAATTAGTTCTCCTGATTAGCAGACAAGATAGTCATTACAGTGCCACGAGTGATGTAGTTGTATTCAACACTGTAAAACAAAAGACAGAAAATGTGCGTGCTCAGGAAACGTGTCAGACAAAAGATGGAAATGTTAGATCCAGACAGTGTTAGTGGTTCTAACTAAGAATAAAAATGCTTGGTATGCAAGAATGCAGTCTAGCACTACCTATAACAATACACACAGACAGTCTCCTGCTTTCTCACACACCGCCTATTTGACACAAATTGGGAACACATAACACATCTGTCTGGCTTCAATAATGAGCTCTTGTTGCTGAGGGCAAATAATGGGAAGGGATGACTCCCCATGGTGCAGATATGGGGGAATGAGAGTCAGCGTACATCCCACCATCACATACAGACATAGAGAGAAAAAGACATCATGGAGAGGCCGGACAACTGGACCGCTTCTGGATACTTCTATTTTACGAGAGTCCTTCTACTTCTTATGCAAAAGTTTGCAGACAAAACATTCAAAGGCGGCACACCTTTCAGAAAGCTGGCACACAGATGGTGGAGATAGTAGCAGAGGTGTGTTTTTATCCAACTATTTTAAATATGTGAAGAGAGATGTCCAGATAGGACGGACAATAGATCAGACAGACATGGGCTGCCATAAGGGAACATGTTGGTGTTGTAGTATTATTTTACATACTGATCACAGCCATTTTACTGCATGTCTGTTCTGTCAATGCCTTAATAATACATTTTAGTAGAGCAGCCATATTTGTGTTGTACAATATGGACTTTAGCAATAACACATGAGGAGGGGATGCAATAACCGAATAGCCAGGTTTCTCTATACATAATGTATCGAGAAACCATAATGCTGTGAAACATAGAGGGTCTTCCAACTCTAACTATATGATACCTTGACTAGCATTGTTTAGCTAATGGAATCCTTCAATGATCAAACTCAGAACACTGGTTATTTCTTCAGGGGAGGTTTTGGATTTCTTTTTACTTTAGTTTTCCTGTTAAAAGAAAAACTAACCGACTGAAAAAAGACTGCAAAATGAGGCGAAGAGCCCAAACAAAGACACTGAATTCATGAATGTCTGATAGAAATGCTGTTTTACTCTAATATTAATACAGTATTTCCTTGATTCCAGCCCTCCTGTGTTCCCCTCCACTAATGCCAGGGGAAGCCAGACAGGCTGTCAGGCAGGCGAGGCTTTGAGGTGCCAATG